GGCGGGGGGCCCAGGTGTGGAGCAGCCTGGGAGATCTGATTACGGCCCTGGAGCCCCGCGCTGGGTGCCCTGGCCACTGGGGAGCCATGGCTGGGGGGAGGGGAGCATGAGGGGGCTGGCAGGCAGAAGGGAAGTCCCTGGGTCCTGACTGGCCTGGGTGGGGCTGGGGACAGATGAGAGGGTCAGAATGCCAGGATTTCCCTTTCATCTCTAACATCGTCTCTGTCGCTCTTGGAGGCCGGATAAAGTTGTTTTTCTCTGCTTGGCCAAAAAGCAGACCGTTGTGAAAAGTTGTGTTGTTATGTTGAGGCCCAGGAGGCTTTCCTGCTAACCTGTCCCCTTCTCACCTAGATAGCAACCAGCATTTCGCAAGGCCTCCTCTATGCTCTAGGTGCCCTGAAAAATCCTTTGCGTTAACTTCTGAGTCTTCACAGCACCCCTTGGAGGCAGGTGCTCTTGGTCTCTCATTTTGTAGATGGGGAAACCGAGGCCCAGAGTGGTGAAGTGCCTTGCTCACAGTACACAGCTATAAGTGGCAGAGCTGGGATGAATCCAGGTAGGCAGGCTCCCAGGACTCCGGGCTGCCTCCTCCCAACCAAGACATTTCCTCCACAACCTCCGAATCTTTCCTGATGATGTCTTCAGCCCCCAAACCTGCATCAGAGGGGCTCCCAGTCAGCTATTTCCTGCTTGCGTGTTTGCATTCATTTATTCATACATTCGTTCAGCAAGCATTCAGTGAGGATCTGCCGTAGCCTTGGGGATGCCTTTAGTGAAGGAAGCAAAGATGGAGGCCTCCCCCTCCCCTGCATGGATCACAGGGAAGATAAGGTTGAACAGGGGCTGTGGAGTTCAGAGGGAGCCTTATCTCTTGTGGTCTTGGATACAAGGGCATGTGGCCTCTTTGTCTTGCATGAGAAAAGATGGCCTCTCCGAGGAAGGGCCTGGGAGGTGCGCGCTCAGCCCTCGGTCCTCATCTACATGGCTCCTTAGATGCTGGTGGTGTTTATTCCTATTCACTCAACAGGTATTTACTGAGCACCTGTTGTGTGCTGGCTCAGGGTGGAGTCAGGTGAGATGCAGAAAGGGTGGACAGCATCCTTGCTTCAAGGACTTTCTTCATATAGAAACGGTAGTGCCAATACCTGCTGCCCCAGCCTCACCTGCCTGTGAAAAGCCCTCCAGAGGGTGTGAGAGGCAGAGAAGGCTGAGGGGAGCCGGAGAAGAAGGTGGCCTCCCTCATCTTCGCAGGCACTGGAGATGGCATGGCAGTTGCAGCAACTTTGCCCTGGGAAGCAGCACTGGGAGGTGTGGGCAGGGCTGGCTCCTGTCCCCCCACCCCACCTCCTTCTTCCCAACTCCCTCTGCAGGGTCTGTGTATGTGTTGGTTCCTCCACTCAGATGGCCCCGGGCGTCAGTGGCTCTCCCGAACTTCCCCCGTGGGCCTGGGCTGGATGCTGACCCTCCACAACCCTCGTCGGGGTCTCCCCACCCTCATTGGTTTGCCCAGCTCCTGTGTCTGCCAGGAGAGAGCCACAGACAAGCACTGCCTTCATCCGTCTCTGACTTCCCCTTCCCCGGCCTGACAGTCAGCCAGCCTCTGGACGGTGGCTACCTCATGGGCTTGCTCATGCTGTGTCCTCCTGCCCAGTACTGTGCTTGGCCCTGGGATGGGCCACATAATCTTTGGGTCCCAGTGACAATGGAAACGGGGGTGCTTTTGTCCACAGATGATTGAGAGCTGCAATGTGGAGACAGCAGGGCCCAAGACCCAGCGTGGGCCCGGGGAGCTCAGGGCCCTGTTAAATGCCAGGCTGCAGGCCCATGCAGCCCCCACCCGCGACATCCAGCACACCACTAACAGGCTGAAGGAAGGAGGTGGGGGATGGGGCCAGGGACAGGGCTCTTGGAGGGCCTTGGCTGGGGTGGGGTGAGAGGCCTGGCCCTGGCGAGGGGCCTGCGTAGGAGTGGCCAGGACTGGCCAGGACCTGCAGGCTGGCATTTTTGGTTCTGTACCTGGCCTCTGGCCTCTCCTTTCCTCACCCATGTGGTCCCTCAGGTTGCTGTCTTGTCCAAAAACCCCCAGGGGAGACACAGAGGGTCACGTGGCAGACCGACCTCGCTCTGTGGAGGACCAGGATCCTCTTGGAGGGCTCAGTCACAGCATGCCACACAGAACCCCTTCCCCAAGCTCACTGTTCATCCCAAATGCTCTCTGCGGACCGTCCAGGAGGGGAGGGAGTCAGGGTTGAGTACCTGACCCCACTGCACTCACTGCCACCATGGGTGATGTGTCATTTTGCTCCCATTTTTACAGATGAGGAAACCGAAGCTCTAAGGAGCAGTCATTCGCTTGCAGTCCCACAGGGGCGGAGGAGACCGCGAGGCTGTGAGTGGTCTGGGTCCTCCCTGTGACAGAGGTGGTGCCTCCTTGCCGCTTGGGTGAGAGGGAGGCCTGTGGGTGAGGTTCCAGGCGCAGACGCCTGGAGGAGGACTGGCCAGCAGCTGGCACTGCGAAGAGCGTGGGGAGGGCGCCGCGGGCTGAGGGGTGGCCCAAGGAGGAGTTGGGAAAGGGCTCCCAGGTTCACGGTTCACGTACTCACACAACGAATACAGGCTGTGCAGCCCAGGCGCTGGGTTCAAGGCGGTACATGCCTACAGAAACCGTAGTCCGGGCCTC